AGATTTTTTTTTAATCAATCCTTAATCCATTTTAGAGTTTTTATCCAAAGCAAACATTAAGAACCTTTTTAAATTGCTCTTTTATAATATTTCAACTTGTAACTTGCCATGAAAATAGTCAAGGAAGCTGGCATGACATTAAAACACCAACTAATCAACATTGAATATTATAATAGAATGTTAAAAATTTTATGTAATAATATTGTAATAATATTTGATATATCATAAATTATTATAATGTATTATAAATGATTTTTATTATAATATTTAAAGGCACAAAAATGCCAGAGATCCATTAAATGTAGTAATAAATATATTATAGTAATAATGTCAATTTCACAATACATTATAATATTATGATATTTAATATATTATAAATGTAATAATATTATAATATTTAAAGGCCCAAAAATGCTTTAAATGTTATAATGTTGTTATTATTATTATTATTAATTTATAATTAATAATTATATCTAAATATACAAATTTTCAAATAAAATTATTATTATTATAAGCATGCTTATTGGTCACATTGATTTAAATTAATTGCATGTTTTTTTTTTTTTTTTAATGAATATATTTTCTATTTTTACCTGTATGTAGATGCTGTTCCTTCTGCTGCCCTTTTCACATCTTTTCCTTTAGGAGGCGGTGGGATCAAAATCAACGTGACCAATGAACATTCTCAGTCCACGCTCAACCTGCTGTCCAACAGAAAGGACCAGTCCATGTACGAGCAGCTCCGAGACATTTCCATCGACAACATCTGCAGGTCTGCCTCACCTTTATGTTATTTTCTGAAGTTCACTAATAATGAAATCCATCTCTGCATCTGCTCTGAGTTGGAGTCATTGATAACGTGCATATGGTACGCAGCATGTGCCAACCATCTGCACAAACTCATAATGAGAAACGCTTCTCAACAGCTTTAAGGCTGTCTGCAGTTTTCCTGTCAAAATAACAACGTTAATAATTTGTTATTAATTTATGTAATAAGTTCATAATGTAAAATAAAATATTTTTTCTTAAGTACTCTAATATAATACAATTTTAAACAATATAAAATAATATATATTTTTTTATTTAAAGGCCTTTTCACACTGAACGTGATGCTAAAAAGCGATCCTCACTTTTTTTCTATGCCATGAATGATCACGCCCAGTGTGAAAGCTTCTTAGCGGTGAAACATTACAAGAATATTTCATATTTTGTTTTTACTTAGTAATTTTTAATATTTTTATTTAGTAGTATTGATAATAATATTTCCATAAAAATGTCCATAAATTCTCTAACTTAATATATTTAATATAACTTTTTAATAATAAATAATATATTTTTTATTTAACAGTGAAATATTACAAGAGTAATATTTCTTTTTATTATTTAGTAATTTTTATATTTTTATTTAGTAGTAATGATAATAATATTTCCTTAAATTCTCTAATTTAATATAATTAAAATTTTAATAATAAATAATATAATAAGTCTTTTTTTATTTAACAGTTAAATATTACATGAGTAATATTAATATTATTATTTAGTAATTTTTATATTTTTTATTTAGTAGTAGTTGAAGTAATAGTCATTATTATTATTATTATTATTGTTATTGTTATTATTATTATTATTATTATTTCAAAGTCATATTGATATCAAAATGTTTTGGCCAAATTTTATGAAAAACAAAAAACAATACCCCCCACAAATTGCAGTGTATATGTGTATATATATAGTCATAAAACCATAAAAACTTGCAATATAATAAAAGTTAGATGAAATAAAATAAAAACTTATTTCATTTCAGCTAGTTGCCAACATTTGTCATTTTTCTTTAATTTAACTTGTATAAAAATAACTAAAACTAATAAATAAAAATGTATAAAAACTATAGACATATTAAAATAAAAAAGACAAAACTTTACTATAATTAAAGTGAAAATGCAAAATATAAAAATAAAATATAATAAAAACTATGATAGTATCTCGATACTAAAATAACATCATTCTGAATGCGCTGAAAGTTTCTTAGGAATAAATGTAATGCACATGTAAATGAGTATGTGAATCAGATTGCAGAGTTTAGGATGCATATGAACACAGAATCAGAAATCAGGCTGGATTCATTCTGACTGACGAAAATCACTGCATGTAAATCTAACGATTGAAATGTAAAAGCATGACTGTCGTCTGCAGATGTCTGAAAGCTGGCCTCACTATGGATCCTGTAATAGTGGAGGCGTTCTTAGCCAGCCTGTCAAACCGGCTCTACATCTCCCAGGAAAATGACAAGTGAGGAAACAAACATGCTGTCTCTCTCTCTCTCTGAGTGATGTGATGTGGTTTTGTTGACTCAGGCGGGTGTGTTTCTCCTCAGAGAGGCTCATCTCATCCCGGATCACACCATCCGTGCGCTCGGACACATCGCTGTGGCCATGAGAGACTGTCCTAAAGTCATGGAGCCCATCCTGCAGATCCTGCAGCAGAAGTTCTGCCAGCCGCCCTCGCAGCTAGACGTGCTGATCATAGACCAGCTGGGCTGCATGGTCATTACGGGGAACGTGAGGATCTCATTTACACACATAATTACAGCTGCTCGCTGCGTGAAGCTGCAGCGTTTATTTCCAGTCGATTCTTTCTTCGCTTTTTGCATCACAGCTCATGTCTGATGATTTACGCTGGTGTGCATTTTCAAGCATGATTACAGTTATTGACTGTACGGGAAAGAAACTTTTAGTAAACATAACAATTGTGACCACAAAACCAGTCTTAAGTGTCAATTTTTCAAAATTGAGATTTATACATCATCTGAATGAACACATCATTTGAAAATATGGAATCTGAGGGTGCAAAAAAATCAAAATATTGAGAAAATTGCCTTTAAAGTTGTCCAAATGAAGTTTTTAGCAATGCATATTACTAATCAACCCTGAAGTTTTGATATATTTACAGTAGGACATTTACAAAATATCTTCATGGAACATGATCTTTACTTAATATCCTAATGATTTTTGGCATAAAAGAGACATGTATAATTTTGACCCATACAATGTATTGTTGGCTATTGCCACAAATATACCCCAGCGACTTAAGACTGCTTTTGTGCTCCAGGCTCACAATTAATTAAACAATGATCAAAGATACACAGCTGTGATGCAAACCGACCAGTGAGAATCTGAATTTTGAAGTTACTAGACATTCAGAACTATTACTAGCCACAAAACAGAAATATCAGAAGTGAACAGATTATCAAAATCACAGCTTAGATTTAAATGTATTTGTTTTTAAATCTGATTCTGGATCATTGAATGAGTGGCAAATGGAATAGAAATGTTGTGAAGTGAATCCGGTTATAAATGAAAGATCTAGTCATTGGTTTGATTTTGAAAATGACCAGACTGTATGCGGGTCGAAGACGAGACGTCTCATTTTGGTATCTGCATCAAATTAAACTTACAAAAGTGATTTTAAATCTCATAGAAAGCATCTTAAGTGCTTACTAAGTAAAGTGTCTACTTTAATGTTTCACATAAACTTTGTGAAAATAAAATGTCAAAATATGGATGTAATAATGTTACATTGTCATTCAGCGTAACCTATTCTGATCTGTACTTATTCAAAAAGTGATCATGCATTATTATATTTTAAGTGATTAAAAACTACTTGCTGACAAATAGGTAAAACCTAGTGGTTTGAAGCATAGTGGTAAAGATTTAAAATGACCGTTAATTCGTTTTTTGATGGCTGCACTGAGAGTCTTATAGTCTTTTAATGTCATCGAATGATTCTTGACAAGATTTTTTGGTATGTACACTATTGTTCACTGAATGACATTTTAGTCGTTTTCTTCTGTAAATCATGGTAAGTCATCTATACGTCACTTTTTTGCTCACGAAAAATAAAATTAATCAGGATGCATTCTAATGTACAGGGGAAAGAAATAAAGCTGCATTAAACTTTTATTGTTTTGATGCATGAAAATCTTTTGTATTTGACCCATTTACAAGGTAGGATTGGTTACATGTATGTTTGTCCCATGTATATTTATTAAAATGAAAAGAATTGCCTTTATGTGATTT